ATGAAAATGTTATTTCATTTGGCCGCCACTTAGAGTGTCGGAAATTGAAATTTATATCCGTGTTTCTGGCCAGGATGTGGAGTACCAACCAACCAACCAACCAAGGAGGGCAAGAAAGGGTATTATTGGAGGAGTTCGGAGTAACAGAAGAATCCCCAGGAGCAGGGGCAGGAGCAGGGGCAGAGCCAGAAGAGAAGTAGCCCATTGAGAAGCGAATTTATTCGATTGTGGTTTATTGCCCCGATTGCTCAGCTGCTACCAATTTAAGTTCTCATTCTCTCCTTTCTCCTTCGTGGCCTCTATGTGGCCACGCCCCTCCCGCCCCACAATTTCGGAGGTAATGCTCTGTGACACTTTTAGATGATATTAATATCGAATTTATTCCTCAACTTTGTTTTAATTTATTGCACTTTTGGTCTCTGGGCTCGTCTCGTCTCAGCTGTGCTCGGCCGCTCATTTAGATTCAGTTTGTAAATAGTCTGTTTTTGGCACAGTAAACACACTTTATGGTGCACATCTGTTGGCTCTACTCTCTGCTTCTCTTCGTCCTTGCACGTGCCACTGTGCTGGGAAGCATTCAGCAAAATCGTGTACTTTTGGAGTGGCAAATATCTACGAGATCTACAATACAAGATCTAAAGAATGATCTAATGAATTAACTGAAGAAAGGTTAGAAAGATCCAAAGCAAAAGCAGGAAGATGTAAAATATCCAAGGAATGATTTCAAAAATCATCAATCAACAAAATAAGGGCTAAAAGATTGCAAGGAAGAACTACATCAACTGATGAAAGGTCTAGAAGATCTAAAGAATATTTTCAAAAGTATAAGGTAAGATCTGAAATATCTGAAATTTATCTAAAAGGATTAAAATATGAACTAAAACATCCAAAAAGGCCCAAAACGACAAAGTGAACTAAAATATCAAAAGCGATCTAAATATCAAACACTATCTATCAAGTGTTCTAAAATATCGAAAATGGTCGAAAATAGAAAGTGTTCTAAAACGTCTAAAAGCTATCAATAATACCTAAAACTGATCCACAAAAATTCGAAAAAAAGAAAATCTAACAAGAAAAAACAACTTTAAAAAACTAAAAATAAAAAAAATAACTAAAAATAACTAAAAAACAACTAAAAAACAACTAAAAAACAACTAAAAAACAACTAAAAAACAACTAAAAAACAACTAAAAAACAACTAAAAAACAACTAAAAAACAACTAAAAAACAACTAAAAAACAACTAAAAAACAACTAAAAAACAACTAAAAAACAACTAAAAAAAACAACTAAAAAACAACTAAAAAACAACTAAAAAACAACTAAAAAACAACTAAAAAACAACTAAAAAACAACTAAAAAACAACTAAAAAACAACTAAAAAACAACTAAAAAACAACTAAAAAACAACTAAAAACAACTTTAAAAAAAAAAACAACTAAAAACAACTTTAAAAAAAAAAACAACTAAAAACAACTTTAAAAAAAAAAACAACTTTAAAAAAAAAACAACTAAAAAAACAATTTTAAAAAAACAATTTAAAAAAAAACAATTTAAAAAAAAACAATTTAAAAAAAAACAATTTAAAAAAAAACAATTAAAAAAAAAACAATTAAAAAAAAAACAATCTAAAAAAAACAACTAAAACTAAAAAAAAATTTTAAAATAAAAAACTAAAAAAAAACTTTCAAAAGATTTAAATGTTTCAAGGATCAACAATTTCAACATCTCTGATGCCATAAGGCGATGATTGATCCCTTATGGATAATAAATCTCCCACACTATGTATAAAATATACTTTTAAAATTACACCTTAAGCATCCGCTTAATAAAATAATTCCCCCATATATCATCACAGCCGATCAAAACTGTACTTGAATGCAATCGTTCATTCCATCTCGGTTTCCGTCTTGTTTTTCTTGGGGTCTGCAGCCTTCCCCAACCTCCACACCGCCAGAACTCTGCATATCTTTCGATCCCAATAATACGTATTCGGTTTTAGGTCCAGCTTTGTCTTAATTTATTGTTATTTTCGAATTATTTGCGCCATGTAAACATGGGAGGGAATAGAGAAACTCGATCCACACATCTGGGTATCTGTGTATCTGTATATCTGGATATAGGCTGTACAATTTAATTAAGTTTGTTGCTCTCGGCCTAAACAGCACCCATCCACCACTCGACACGGACCCAGATGTGCCTCTCGATTGAGTGCACTGCTGTTGTTGTTCTTGTCAGTTGATTGTTTCGGTTGCAGTTCAGATTTCGGCCTTATTCGGGGGGCAATTTCATTGTCACATGGCTGGTCAGGGCAGGGCATCGAACATCATAATGATCAGCCTTAATTGCATTTGGGGGCATGCAACCTAGTTTCTGGGCTAAATAAATACTAATAAAACCACTTATGTATGAATTTCTTCAACGAAGAGAAGTAGAGAGTGCCTTGTCGGAGATTGAGAAATAATGTGGCGTTTCAATAAATAATGAGAGCATAATTTAAGAGCGAATTACCATCTACCCTCTCCCCGGGATGTCAATGCAAAGCACACTATAAGTAGGCCTCATTGAAGAGTAGATGGCTTGAGCTGTCTCGGCAATAGAGAGCCTGCATTCACGCACTGCTCCGACAACATCTGTCCTTGACCTCTCGAGCCCAGCGATCCACCCTCTGCCACGTTTCCAAGAGCGAAGGACAACCATCTCCCACGTCCTTTGTCTCAGACTCTCTTGAAGACCAGCACTGCACGGCCTTTTGACCTCCAACCCCCACCAAAAAAGTCTCTTCAACAACTTCAAATTCGTTGTGGCAGACCCTGGACAAGCGGAGCTCAACTCCAGCCTGAAATAGATTCCTTTTAGTGCCTTTCGTGCAGTGTGGCGGCAGGATCGCCCAATATGCAGAATTGTATGGAAATGTTTTCAGTTTCCAAAAATCTCGAGGCTGCAAACGAATCCCGTAGACATCTTATATACCCAAAGTACAAAGGCCGCCCCGTGCCTGGTCCGACGAAAGGTTTTTTTTCGTGCAGTGAAACCCGCAGGAACCCCCCTGGTTTTCTACAATTTCTCCTCAAATTTATCCAAAGAATCCTCTAATTATTAATTTCTGATTAATCTGCGCATTGTCCCCCCCTCCCCCGCAATGATGCCACCCCTCTATTGCCGCCTTGTAAGCCGCTGCTGTCGCTGTTGCTGTTGTGAAAGCAAATGTGCCGCCCAAAAAGTCCATAGACACGTGCCACTTTGGAGACATCTCCGTTGCCATTTCCCCAGTTCTGATCTCCCCCTGTCCCTGCTCCTGTCCCTGCCACCACACGTGGCAAGCGACGTGTTGCAAATTATTTCGACATCTGATTTTAAGCGGAAAACAAGAGATAGAGAAACGAAACGAAACGAAACGAAACGAAACGAAACGAGAAACGGGGACGAGAAGAGAGTAGGGATTTCCTCGTCCACTCTCTGTCTAAGCGAGAAATGACTGGATAAAGAGGAGAGGAGACACACACACACACAGGAGACAGTACGGACTCTAGAGGGGGGGAGGGGGGGATACCTCTGGTCCTGCTCCTGCCTGTCGTTCTGCATTTTCGGGAGGCCACTTATGGCCTTTCTGTGTAAACTTTTGAGTGCATTTTTCGTTGCAGTCCAAACAAAAGGCAAGAGCCGGAGTCGGAGCTGGAGCCGGAGCTGGAGCTGGAGACCCGGCCAAATGGGGCACATTATGAAGCGCGTTGGTCCAAGTACACCGAAAGAAATTCCGCATAAAGTGCCACCGAAATGGGGATTTTCTTCGGGTAAGTTTCTTTGGTTTTTTCTCAGTGCAGTTCAAAGTTTGAGTTTTCATAGCTGAAAAAGAGGAGGCCCCCCCCATCCCCCCCTTGATGCATCAGAAAGCGTTGCAGTTGGTGACATTTGCATGAACATAAAAAGCTCATGCACAGCAATTTGCGACTTTGCCAGTGACATTAAACGTGGACAGCAGCAGGAGGAGGAGCAGGAAGGGGAACAGGAGGGGGTGCAGCAGGAGGAGGAGCAGGAAGAGGAATAGGAGGAGGAGCAGCAGGAGGAGGAGCAGCAGGAGGAGCAGGAGGAGGAGCAGCACGAGCAGCCCCCAAAGTAGCCCCAAGTATGGCATCTGGAAGGGGGTAAAGGGTGGCGATTTTTGGGGGCACAGAGAGGTTCACAGCAATGCGGTCTAGTCAGTGAAGGCTCATTTTGGGTCGAACAGAGGCGTCGTCCGGGACTCAAAGAGGATTTCAAATGGAGGAATATTTCAGAAAAATAGCCAGAAATACTTTCGAGCGAAAGAATCAATCAATCTCTTAAATACTAGAACCCGAACTAGAGATCATTCAATTTTCAGAAAACAAATACAAAAAAAAGTCTAGAAAATTCTCAAAGATTTTCGTAGATTTATTCTCATTCACATTGCCATGAGAAAATGCTGTATTTTTCTTCATAAATTACACCAGATTTGAAGTCTCCGGACTTCTTTTTGTGGTTATATTTGACAAGAAAACTTAACGCCATTAAGCCTCATAGCATTGAATCTCTAAGCAAATATTCGTGCCGAAAACATCGCTTCACCACCCGAACCCGATATGCTCAAAAAAGTGATGAAAAAAGAAGCAAAAAGCGGACATTTTATGGTGTCCAATAAAGGCGGGCACTGGATTAATATTGTGCTCAAAAATTAGTCTGAATAAATTGTAAAGAAATAAATTTTAAAAAAAATTCCGCATATTTAAAAATCCGTTGATTTTTCCAAGTTAATCGATGTTTACATAGAACATCATATTTTGATGCCGAATCAGAGTTCAATTAAGTTTAAATTTGTAATAAATAAAAAAAAATTTTAGATCTAATATTCAACAGAAACAGACTTTTCTTGTACGAAATTGTAGTATATAAAATTTTGAAAGAATGAATATGGATTGCCAAGTCGTGCTTTATTTTCCGGGTAACCCTTGAGACTGTGGGGATCTATTCCTTGGTCGTTGGTTATGGTTTATTTGAGAGTCTGGCGGCAGCATCATTATCCTGGCCAATGGGTAGCGTCATCAGTCGATAGGCGGGTGTGGGATAGGGTGTGTGCATTTCCGGATACGAATTTGCCTCCATTTTGGGCTTCATTCCGGAAATGACTTGTCGGGCCAGCAGATTCCTGATGATGGCACCATAATCGGACATTTGCAGCTTCAGTTTGTGGATATCTCGATCATGCTGCACACTCGTGACCTCCCGTTCGATCATTTCTTCCTTGGAGGCATCGCTATCGCTGGTAGTGGCCTTCTTCAGGCCGGAGTGCCTCCTCACACGACGAAAGCGAACACTCAGTTGAGGACTTGCCACCGACACGTCCCCAAAGGCCTCTCTGGCCAGTTCGAATGTGGCAAAGCGAACCAGGGCACGCGTGGCCTTCCTCATCCCGCCCATATCCACCATTTTGGCCGTGCCAAACAATGCCTTGATGGCCGATTTGTTCATATTTTCGGGTATATGGGACACCTCCAGGCACCGCGTGTCGATGGATTTGGCCTCCTCTTCTGCGCTAAAGACTTGGCGCTCGGCCTTCAGAAAGCCGTTGCCGAATGGCACCCGATTGATCTCGCTGATGGTCGCCTCCACGTCCGCTCCTGCCTTCAGGCGGGCCGTGCAGTAGCGTGGCTCCAAGCGGCTGCTCGGGCTGCCGCCGATGGCCTCGCTGATGTTCGCGGATAAGCCAGCCACCAAGTCCGACGTTATCTCGGGATCGGGAAAACGTATAATCAAAACATCGGGGGACGCTTGGGGGGCAAAGAACTTGCGCTCCAGATCCAGGCACTTGATCGAGTCTTCTCGTCGTTTTCTTGCCAGTTGTCGTCGCGATAATCTTTTCCCGTCTAAAGAATTATAATCGGTTTCGGAATGCGAGACTGTCTTTAAGCTCCTTGCAAGCCGCGAGGCTTTCTTTCCGAGATTTGGAGGATTGCCATCGCCCGAGGGTTTATCAACGCCTGTATCCTCCTTGTTCTTCGTCAGTTGCTGGGCAGGAGAGGAGGAGCATTTCACATCCATTGAGATTTAAAAAAAAAAACTTTATTTTTGTACAAATTTTAAGCTCTGTTCTGTTGATATTTGGATTGGAAAAGGTAGAAAAAAAGACAGGAGTACATAAACAGCAACAAATTCTGTTGTACTGTGATGTAAAAAAAAAAGGTTCAGTTTTCTTTCAAATATATTTTCAATCAATGCAATTATGTTCCATAACCCAGAATTTGGTACAAAAAAAACAGCCAAACTTGAAGAATTCTAGCGCCAAAGTGTTGAAAGATATCGTAGTAATTATTTTTGTTAAGTAAAGAGGAAAGATGCAGCTACTAGAAGAATTTTCAGACAGCATTTTAGGCAGTCCCTAAAAATCAGACGAGCCGTTCAGGAGTGGCACGTAATGCCTATTTTTAGCCCATTTAGAGCCTCCCAAACTAGTTTTCGTGGCGATACCCCTTCTGGCCCAACAAAGCTCTAACCCACGCCCCTGCTTAATGGTAACTCCCCCTTGGCAGTGCTTATGCACAAATGGTCACTGTAGAAGTGGGGTGGTGGGGTGGAGGGTGTTGGGTGGTGGGTGGGCTGTCGACGAGCAGGCACTAGAGATGGTTTGACAACACTTTGCACACTTCATTGGATCGCAAGCGAGAGATAATGGAGAGCGACCGACCACCGAAACAATTCCATGCCCCGACAAAATGATGTGCTAACTGCAGCGTTAAGAATCTGGAATACAACAACAGCAAAAGAGAAAAAAAAATACAAAATAAGGGAAAACCAAAACATAAAACAGCCCCCAAAGGCCCCCAAAAAGAGGAGGGAGGATTTACAAAGGTTTATTGCTGGATTCTTGGGGGTTGAGGGAATGGAACCTCATTCTAGAAAGAGAGAATGAAGAAAACCATTCCCTTGACTCTCACTTAGTAGAAGAGAGAAAGATCTTACGGAATGAATCGTGAAATACCGTTTGGTAGAGTGGTTTTACGGATCTGATCAGGGCAGCAGCATTCTAGCGGGGAACAACAGCTGTTGGCCATCCTACGACAGCTCCGACGGACTGTTAGATCTTTCTCCTGCGACCCACATGGCGCTGGGTTGGCCCTGGCTGGTAGGATAGAACTTAAGAGGTGTTTCAACCCGTTTCAAACGGCCGTTTACGGACATACGGACAACACGAATACCAGAGCAAAATATACGATATACATTCTACATTCTACTACTATATACATTCAACTACTATATACATTCTACTACTATATACATTCTACTACGATCTTCTCATTCTACATCTTTGTAATTTTCTTTGGAAACCTACGTCTCGATCCGCTCTTCTACAAACAAGATCCTTCACAGATTTTAACAGTTCTTTCCAAGACTCATTCTATGAAGAGAGCAAATAAATATACTCTTTTTTTCTAAGACGTTTAATCTCTTTTGTTTTTGGTTGTTTCTTGGAAACTTTTATAGCCTTTGTATCTACAGATTTATCCCCTCCCGAGCCTCTACGAGATCGAGGCAGACCGAAAAACGAAGACCCTTTTCACATAATTTTCTCCACTCCTTTGGCCAAGGAAAGGGCATTCAAACGTCACATTCTTCTGCCCTGATAGATACCCCTTTCATTTTACTCGTAGATTTTCTCTGCTGATGTTGCACAAAATAAAGTGTGAAATTTATGCCGCCCCCCACTTCCGGGGAAGTGCGTGTGTGTGTGTGTGTGAATTTTAAATTTCCCTACAAGACCTTAAAGCCTTGAGTTCTTGAGAGCCAGACACAATGGGGGGGCCGCCAGACGGACATTGATTTCTTATCGTTTTGGGCTGCCTAGGGCCTTGGGCACTGGACATTCAACATTCAACATCCCACATCCACATCCACTTCGTGTCTAGCACATATCCTGCAAAGTCATTTTGATTTATTGGCAATGATTTTCCAAGTTATTGAACAGATTAGATGGGCGTGTGTGTGTGTGTGTGAGCCTCGAAGGAGTGCCAAACAATTTGTTTATGTTTTTTTCGGTAATGGACTTTGCTTCCTTCTCACATTTCTCTCGTTTTCCCTTCGATTAAATGCAGAGCAGCAAAATCCCCCCAAGATGAAATTGAAAAATTTTCTCCTCGTTTCTGGCCGAACAATTTTTCCAAGTGAAATGACAATTGGCCAAGTCGTCGGAGGAGATGGATCCCTGTGCCAAGCTTTAAGAAGATTTCCCTCTTTCGAAGGAGAACTGCAACGAATAGCAGATTGTATAAAATAAGTATGAAATAACTATAAATATCATATTGCGAAAAAAAAGTCAGCAACAGGCAAACAGGACACTGGACACTGGATACTGGACACACAGCAGCAGCAGCAGCAGCATGTCCTCTGGCAACAAGAGAAAAAGGACAGCCCGATGATAATGTTGATAACACAACAAATAAAGCTGCAGACGACAAACGAGTGCGAAATGCAGGCACGGGGCATACCCTGGGCTCTGGGGTCTGGGAAGGGGGAAATAATCCGAGGGTATCGTGTGTCCTGTCGCTGCCGCCGCCTGCCTGGCCCCCAATACATAATTGAATTCTAAACCAATGCAAACCTCTCCAGAGAGAAATAAGACCAGGACGAAGGATGCAACGATCCAATGACTGCCACACACCGCATTTCCCCTTTGCCTTTGCCCTTCCCTCTCATCATCCCAAAATATAATAGAAAAATTTCTATAAAAAAAAGAATAAACGAAAATGATAAAAGAAATTCAATCAGAATTTTCTGCTGTTGCTGCTGACCACAGAAAAAAAGTCAGGGAAATGGCAGAGAGAGGAGGGGGGGATTGGGGTAGAGGTACACGAAATCCGCTTAAGATGGAATTATAAATCGGGGGAAAGCCCCAACATTCGAGTCAACCAAAAGCCATACAATAGACTCCTCCTCCTCCTCCCCCCTACAGACAGCATTCATAATTATGCGACAAATTGGCGGCCGTTCAATGTAAATTAATGCAAAATATGTGATCAGTGAAACGCAGAGACCGGCAATGGCAAAATTTTCCCACTTGTAGCCCTGTAAAAGTTAGTCAATTTGTTGATCAAATGATGATCAACATGCAACTAAATTTACAGTTATAGATGCACCGTTTTGGATTCACCGTTTACATGCAGTTTTACATGAACAGCTATTTTATATGAACCTCTTTACAAACACAGTTTTACATTCACTGCTTACATGAACAGTTTTACATGAACAGCTATTTTATATAAACCTCTTTGCAAACAGTTTTACATTCACCGGTAACCTGCACAGTTGTATATGAACAGCTATTTTATATGCACAGTTTTACAACACACTGTTTGACATTCACCGTTTACATGCACAGTTTAATATGCTATTTTATATGAACCGTTTAACAAACACAGTTTCACAATAACCGTTTACATGCACAGTTTTACATGAACAGCTATTTTATATGCACCGTTTTACAAAAACAGTTTTTGATTCACCGTTTACATGCACAGTTTTACATGAACAGCTATTTTATATGCACCGTTTTACAAACACAGTTTGACAATCACCGTTTACATGCACAGTTTTACATGAACAGCTATTTAATATGCACCGTTTTACAAAACCAGTTTTACATTCACCGTTTACATGCACAACTCGTCTACATGCAGCGCCTACAGGCACAGTTTTGCAGCCCCCGTTTAGATGTAAAGCTCTTATGTACAGTTTAACAAGCAGTTTAAGACAGCGCTCGGCCCGCACACAGTGCAGTTCGTGGGTGTGTGTGTGTGTGTGTGTAAAAAGCAGGCAAAATGGAACAAAGTGTCATTGTGTGTGTATTGGTGCCGATCAATGCTCTTCACACGTTTACGTGAGCGACAGAGCATCAGCAGCGCCCTTCCCAATTCACACAACAACAGGGCCTTGCCGACACCCGGTTTCATGCACCGTTTCAATGCACAGTTTAACATTAACAATTTTACATTCACCGCTTTATATTCACCTTTTACATGCATTGAACCGTTTTACATGAACTTTTTTATATGTACAGTTTTAGATGAACCGTCTACATGCACAGTTTGACACTAACAGTTTTACATTCAACCGCTTTAGTATGTATTTGATGTTTACATGAAAAATAAAGTTGCGTGCTCTTTGAGCATCTCCATACTCGATGTTCGATGCTAATTGACAGACCCTCCTCCCAACCCAACCCATCCCCACCCTTCCTCCTGGACGTTTGTTTTTGTGTTTGCTGCGCAATTGAAACTCGTTTCGCCACAAAAGCGTAAATGACTCAAACAACAAAAAAAAGAGAAGCTTTAAGCTTTTTTTACAGGTGCAGAAAAGTAAATTAGACTTGGAGTCAGCCCCAAACTGCAACAAATTCAATTATTTCTAGCAAAAAAAAAAACCACAAAAACTGTTTAAGGGAAACAAAATGAGTCAGCGATAGAGAGGGGGGGAGGGGGAGTTGTAGAAAAGCTTTATAATCGCAGTTTTTTGCCCCAACTTCAATCTTTGCTTGGTTTTGCCATTGAAAAGGATTTGTGACTCCCCTGGCACTGAAACTGGCTTTGGCCCTGGCTGCTCTTATCACTGCCGCCGCCGCTTGCCTTCCAGCCCGGATGGAAAACCCGGGCCAAGAACATTTCCAATTGCCATGATAGCAGACAGGGGAGGGTGCGGAAGGGGGGAAAGATTTCAACGAGTCGATTGCTCAAATAACATGCAACAAAATAAGCAATCATCAATGTGCAACAGCAGACGAGACAACAATGAGGCAAGGATTACCCACAAGCAGGTCGTTGAACTTTCGTGGAGATAAGCGGTAGGTAACGCAACGAAATTACGGTAGAAATTATTGAGGAAAATGTAATTTTCAAAGACTAAATGTCTACGAATATGCAAGTGAGTGAGCCGCCCAGAGACTGGCGCATCGAAGGGGCATCAAGTTCTTGCAACAACAAAGGAAAGCGATATCCGATCCCCCAGATCCCGGTTGCCGGTTACTCACTGCACAGCAAACTCTGGCCATCACCCCACTTCAAAATTCTTAAAAAGAAACAAGACCACATAAATAAACCATAAATTACATTATATAATAACAATCACAAATTAGATAAACATTTTTTATCAATTTTGTAGGTTTTTTATTCCCGATTAAAGTGTTCTGTTTATGTGTAATTTCTAGATTTAAAAAACCATAGTTCATCAACCATGAAGCATCCGCCGCTAGTCAATCCTTGGATGATTAGGGATGGAATATTTTTAATATTACAGAAAACCATACAGTCGAACTTTCAAATAGCAAATCTCAAGGGGAATTCATTCTACAGAAAAAATTTTAAAACAGAAATAATTGTTGAACATTTTTTTTGGAAATAAATTCTTTATTTAGAAAACTTCATTGCATGAAAGTCCGTAAAAGAGATGTTCGTCTGTACAACCAATAAAACAGACGTTTCCTTTGTCAGTCACACGTGAACGTGGGCTAAGAGACCTCCAAATGTACCACCAACAAGCCTTCATATTGTCAACCTGTCGTTTGCTAATGAAACGCACTGTACACCAATTTGCCTTTGGGATCTTTCACCTCTCCAATTCCACCTCTGCCATTCAGCAGCAGCGCAAAATCAAAGAGCGAGAGAGAACTGTGTCATTTGGCAATTAAATTCCATCAGCAATAAATTCAATTAAAGAAAAAATCCCAAATACTTGACCGCAACTAATTCTCACCCCAACCACACACAAGAAAAGGAAAAAAGAACAATCAATGGATTGAAGACAAAACGGGGGCAGCCGCCTACGAAGCTGGCGATCACAACAGAATAGTGTTTTTTTTTTTTTTTTTTTTTTTTTGCGTGGCCGACATCGCGCTTTGACATAACTCGTTCCCGAGTTTCACTCAAAAAACGTTGAAATTTTTGTGAGAGATGAAATGCAAAAGCTTTTCGTTGCACGATCCGATCGCCCACTCAAAACGAGTTCGTTTGAACCCGAAAATCCGAAGCACGCCTTTGGCTTTCAGTTGTTCAGCGACCGTCAGCCCGAGAGCACTACAAAAAAGTTTATAGAGCTTTTATTTTTGCAAAATATTATTACTAAAGTTTTTCAAACAAAAATATATAATTATGTGGAAACAAATGTTTGGTGTTTTGCTTATTGCCTTGTGCCTGATGCACTCGGGTGAGTGCTTTTTTCCCCCCATAGAAAGTGCAGGAAGAAAACTTGTTTTTGAGTGAAACATTTGAACCGAAATAGCATTTAAATATATATAAAACATCTTCCAGTTAAATATTGGAAAGTGAAATTGGATTCAAAGAACGCGGGGTTAAAGGTTGTAGTTGGAAACCAGAAAGCTGCCTTTTGCCGAGACCCAAATTGGAGACAAGTCAAAACCAGATTTAAAGACAACAAATCTTCAAAAAATGCTCCCTAATCAGGTTTCAAGACATACAGTGGAATATTTTCAACAATAAAACGTATTTAGAATCAAAAATCCGACAAAAAATGCTACCCAGATCGATCAATCAGGTTGTGCAATGAATTACTAAAAAAGAAAAACAAATTCCATTATTTATCACATACTAAAACTGCGGAAAACAATAAACAATCCATTTAACAAATATTCACGTACTTTTCCATACCATTTGGCCAAGACAAAAATAAGCAAAAAGTGACTTCATAGCAAAACAAAAAAAAAAGACACAAAAAACACAAATAAATATCCGGGGAAGAGTGAGAGAATTTGTGTTGGCGTTACATAATGGAATCGTGGGAAGGGGGGTGGGGCGCTCAAACTGGTTACAAGCAAATTCAAATCTCCCCCCAACCTTGACAGAGCTTTCGTTTCGAGTGTTTGGAATCAAGTAATCCAAGCTAGAATTCTATCTCTCTTTCTCTCTCTCTCTCTCTTCCACAGCGACTGCCATCAAGTGCTATCAATGCAAGTCCCTAACGGATCCCAACTGCGCCAAGGAGAAGATCGATGCTGGCTCCAACGTGCGGCAGGTGGACTGCGATAATGCGGCCAGGCCCAATACCATGGAACAGCTCCAGCCAGTGACCAAATGCAACAAGGTGGTCACCAGCGGTAAGTGAAATCTGTCTCTGAAGTTAAGTTCTTCCCTGCATACAAATTCCAAAGCACACACACACACATACACAACATTCGCACTGGCACGCACCTTGAACGGAAAACGTCAACAATTTAATAAGACGTGATGTCACCGTCGACAAACGATAGATGATGTTCGGGCGGGGGGGTTGGGGAAGGTCGGGCCCCGAGTTCCAATTAACATATGGCAAACAAAGTCAATGCAAAGCAGGCACAGTGCGTTACGCAGCCATAAGGCAGGCACGTCAATTATTATCCGAAAGCTTAAATCCGAAATTCCACTTTAACTGGAATCCAAAAAACACAAAACTTAAAATTAAACAAGAAATTTCGATGTTCACTCTACTGCTCCACTTTTCAATGTTTTAAACCGGGTAGAATTATTAGGGATCGACTATTAATCAGCGGGCATCAATAGATGATTCGGAGCATTCTAACAACCCTTAAGTCCAAAGAAATCACGTAAAATACCCTTTCTATTGAAAAAGAATGTATCCAAGATGATGCTAGTCGTTGTGGAGCAATATCCTGTGATCGGATGAGAGAAAATATAATATTTTATACCCTGATTGTGGCACACAGTATGTGTTAGAACCAATAAACACAAATCTGAATCACTTAAAACTATAAAAGACGTGGGAGGGGATTAATTATGGTATGGGGCTGCCATGGCGCATGTTTTCTTATTATTTTCACAAGACTGTATATTATATAGGATGTGGGAATAGACACGGGTAATTCAGGCGCAAAGTTCTTTCATATTATAAAATCCATAAACATTAAATTTAATCAATAGAAATAAATGTATGTATGTACTATATGTATAAATATATAGCAATATGTCAAAAGAGAATTCAATATTTTAAATGAATAGTGGAATAAAATAATTTAAATAAATATAATAAAATATATGTAATATAATAGAATAAATAGTGGGGAGCCAGGGTCTGCCAGGGGGCAGACTCGCTTTGTTCGCGCTGATATGAGCAAAATATCGGGATAGAGGATTTTGCCACCACGAACTTCCATCACTAACACAATTTCCCATAACGCTTTTTAACCATTTCCAAGAATTTGCCATCTCTAATTCGCATTCGAATTCGCGTAACGGAAGAATTATTTGTCCTCTTCTTTTACGCATCGAAAACGAACAGTTGCCGTCTCGTTCTATTTGCAACACACATATACACAGACACACTTCACAATTCTTGTCCACTGTTCGGACACTTGCCATCTCTCTCACTCACTCCCTCTCCGCCTGTTCCTCGCATACGACGCACATAACCTCACAATTCATTCGCATTTTTATGCACATGAAAAACACCAACACACATACATCGCCCCACCACACTTTTCTAATAAATATTTTCCACACTTGCAGACCGCGCCGGCGTCATTGTCTCCCGCGACTGCCACTTTGAGTCGATTGGGCAGAAGGACAACGAGTGCACGGTAACACACAGCCGCCAGGTGGAGAGCTGCTTCACCTGCAAGGGGGATCTGTGCAATGCCTCTGGAGCGTCCCGTTATTTGGCCCTGAGCGCAACTGTTCTGGTGGCGGTATTCGCCTTGCAAATGGCGCTGTGAGTGAAAACTCAACAAATGAGCAAAAACGAATAAAAATGCATTTTCATGTGCAAACACACATACACACATACCTATGTACAAATTAATGGCGTCTGTAAATTGTTAATTGGTTTTAAATAAAATTCAAGAAGGAAAAAAAACTTATAAATATGAATTGATGTATGGAAACATTTTTACCTTCGGGCTTGAAGCTGCAGGGCCCAGATTTTTCGAGCCAAGAAATCATTTATGCCATCGACAGATAATTGTTCGTATTCCATATCTATCTCCATATTCGTCATTTTGGTTTAGCTATTTTCTTCAGTCTCACAAAAAACTTTAAAACTACGTTCACGACGAAATAAAAGGACCGTGCACACGGAAAAAAACAAGATGGCGGCAAAACGGGACTTGGTTTGGCTAAAAACACTAATTACGCTGCTAAAAACACCTGCACAAACGATTTTCAATAAATAAGTACTCGACTGTGCACTTATGAACGTTTTTCAAACATTTAACACTTTTATTTCCACTTTTACAACAGAACAATAGTTTAAAATATTTAGGCGACACGAACAGATCGGAGAGACAAAACGAAAGGAAGAGGAAAGCCCAAAGCAGCGCTGCCGTAGCGGGTACTTCGTACGGGCATCGATAATCGATACTTCGATACTATTCATAATAGGAAAATCCTGTCATTTGATATCGGAAATACCAAAAAGTCGTGATCATAAAAATATTTGAGTTTGAATGGATTTCTCTCATTCGAAATATGGCAAATATATACGGTGCTCAATATTTAAATAGGAGAAAATCCTTGATCACTATATTTACCTTGTTAATATTGAGCTGCTGATTTATTTATAATTATGTATTTATTATTATCGGAATACGCTACGATACGAGTAAGTATCGTGGAAAAATTACCACAGCAGTAACTCCCATCACCACAGAATCCGAATGCCATCTCTAGTCCACATACGAACTCGCCTAACGGAATTAATTCTTGTCGTCTCCTTTTACCCAACGCCGATGAACTCTTGCTGCCTCGTTCGTCGCGAACACCCACACACTCACCGTGTGTGTGATCACAGTTCTTGCCCCTTTTTTTGCACGTCCCTTTCGCAAGGCAGTTTCTCTGATGTTTCTCACATAAAACACATGCATACATTCCGCCCATTTGCATAGGAAAACACACCAACGCATGATCAAATATCAGCAGAATGTACAAATGAATGGCCTGTTTAAATTGTTAATTGATTTGAAATAAAAATCAAGGGAGCATATTTACCTTTGGTCTTCAAGCTGCAGGGCGTCGACTTTTCGCATTAAGAAGTCGTTTATGTCTGATGCATTTACAATATTATTTTCAAAACACATCTCTCCATATTCCATATCTATCTCCATTCTCGTCTTTTTGGTTTAGCTTATTTATTTAGTCTCAAAAAAAAAGTTTAACGACGTTCACGACGAAACGAAAGGTATATCCACAAAAACACAAGATGGCGGCCAAACTGGACTTGGTTTGCCTAAAAACACTTATTACGCTGCGAAAACCACCGACACAAACGAATTTCAATAAATTAATATTAAATGTTGCACTTATACACGCTTTGACAACTTTTAACACTGCTTTTTCCATTTTTACAACGCAAAGACAAAGTTTAAAACATTTAAGCGACGCGCACAGATCGGAAGCACAATACATATACTAAAATATACCGTAAATACTGATGAAGAAACGAGCTTAGCCCACTAAGACCCCCTTTATTTAAGCCGGATAACGCCTCGAGTTAAATCGCGGAAAATAATACCAATAATAATAATAAGAATTTTTCCTGTAGATCTGTAGACCTATCCATCTTTTTAACTTCTTATCTCTTACCTGAGCTGCGTTAAAATTATTCAAGATTCATAAGTTAAGTGGAGTGTATTTAACTACCCCCTGGACGACAATGGGCTAATCGTTCTCTGTCCATGATTGGAAATCATATTTATCACCTATCTCGACCCCGATACCATTTCTTGGTTGCTATGAGAAGACCATAAACTGCACAATTTCATTGAACTAGAATTAGTTTCTGCATTCATTGGAGCCGGAGATGACAAACATATCCCAAAATTTATATGCACATAAATGTACATATATGCATAAATTGTTGTATTTGTAAACCATATTTTTGGTTGTTACATACATTTTCTCTAACCGTTATACCCTTATTCATTCTTTGAGTGCCTCGCACAAACACAAACAACCAATGAAAGCAAGGAAATACACACACAGTGAAACACAATTTGCGCGCCAGTGATCAACACATGCACACAAGAGTACGTACGTGTGTGTATGCAGCAAAAATGGTAGTCATCAGAGACAGAGAGAGAAGAAGGAAGCAGCAAAAGAAGCATAGCAGAAACATGAAAAAACTGAAAAAGTAAATAAGACATAAGAAAAGTAGACAAGACAAGCCACAGGCCCTTCCGGGACTCCACTTTGAACGTGGCTGTTTGGCGATCATCGGGCCTGGCTTGGTCTCCAAACGGGCAGCCATATTTGATAATAATGCGGGCACTGGAGGCCACTGCTTCCAAATGGATCCATGCGAGCTGAATAAAACCACGCCGACAAAGGCTCCAATGTCATCTTCCATCAGTCGGATCAAATCCGTGGAGGGGAAGGGTAAGTGCGCTGTCGGTCGAATGATACAACCTACATAACTCTTATTGCAGTTCTCCCCATAGCCCAATTTGCAGCTCTGCAGGTGTCTCTACTGGAACAGTGGTCTTATTGTGGCATAAAGAGATGGAGATTATCGTAAATCAAAACAACATTCAGAAAAATTTCTTTGTTGCGCAGCCAGAGCCAGCATTTGCAACGGTGACAGTGTCCAAGGTGATACCGTCCCAAGCCGCCACCGGCGCCTTTGTCTGAGCTCTGCCCTCCCGCCCTCTCCATCAGCAAGAGCCGCTCACTCAAGCCACGCACGATAACGATGGTGACGACCTATAGCCCATGTTGCTGATCTGCATGTGCATCCTTGCAAAGCGGCTGCTGTGGCGACTCACACGTCATCACACGAGACGCGGATATTGCGCTTTGTGGGCAGAATAACATCCAAGGATCGCCTGTTCAACCTCGACTCTAGGGTGGACAACATTTCGGTTGCCTTTAACAAGCAAGCAGCCAGGTGCCACAGGAAGGGCATGTCGTTACCAAGGCTGTTGCCATCTTCCTCAAGAAGACTGGAAAATTGAAGGTGCCCGACCAGATGGACATCATGAAGACGGCCAAATTCAAGGAGCTGGCCCCTTACGATCTCGACTGTTTATATGGTGGCGTTGCGCCTCGTTCCTGCGTCATTTCTATCACCGCAGTCCTGCTTGTGTTAGCTCCATAACCAAGATCTATGGTGATCGCAAGCGCAACGGGGTCCACCCAGCGCATTGCCGCTGACGGTGCTGTCCGTAAGGGTCTCCAGGACATCGAGTACGCCCGCCTTGTCCAGAAGCACCCAAACGGTGGCCGCAAGCTCAGCTCCATCGTACAGGACAGCCTGATTTGGATCGCATCGCCAACCAGATTGTGGTCAAGCAGCGCGATGCCGCCAAGCAGATGGGTCCCCTTGTCGTTTCCTAGTAAACGTGGATCGCACTTCTCTGTTCCCACACCAAGATTAGCCGTTGCATCTCGCTTCCCTCCGCCAGGCGACGCACACGGGGCGAGGAAGATTGCGTGTGGGAGAGAGTAAGCGCGACGAAGGGGGTAGCATAGCCATGGAAAATTGAATTGTTCATTCTGGTTATAATATTGATCCGATCTGATCCAGACGCGATATGTATTTGTGCAACCTTTCTTGAGGTCTGCCTAAAATTTGTGTAGGAAACAGGTGCGATTAAAATGATTACATTCTTTGTATTCATACATAATTTTTTAGTAATATGAACTTATTTATGTCTTTTAGATCTGTCCGAATTTGTTCGCCCCAATTATCTCTTTAAGCGCGTCCATGAGGCGCAGGCACTCGGTGTCCTAGCTGGTCGACTCAGAGAGATAAAACTGGAAAATGGATAGATGGAAAGCAAGAATGTATTGTTTAACTTGCAAATCATAGGATTACATATGCATATACTGACTGAGTACCAAATAAACATCCTTTCAGGCGTCTAATTCGAATGACCCACCGATCCTTGACTCTCTTCGGCTCGAAAGCCAAACACACTCTGAAAACTGAGAGAAATCCCAAATCTTTGTGTATACATCAATCTTTTATTTCGATTACAAAACGTTCTACTTTTCGTGGGGGCAATACAATACAAATACAATACAATTTGCAAGTGCAGGCCCCTCACATCCTTAAACTAAAGAATTCTTTGTAAAAATTGCATACAAAATAGAGACAGACAAAAATGCGAGATTCGAACATTGAGCTTAAGATATACGGAATGTTTTGTGTGTTGTGCGGCATAGAGATATGGACGGAAACGAGTTCCAAGTTTTAAGTTTTTTTGTTTTTAGATTCGACTCATTGGAAAAGGCACTTGAAAATTACACATTAGTTTTGGCTAGGGCTAGGCGGGCTATTGCTATTGCCTCAAGAGTTGCGCCACGAGGACAGCGAGGAGGGTGCCGCCCAGGACGCTGGCCAGCCCGAGGCGGGGCAGGCCGGCGCCGTTGCAGCCGTCCTTGCTGTTGCAGGTGCAGTACTCCATGAAGATGTTGTAGCTGCCCGTCCGCATCAGGCAGTAGCGCTCGTCGCCCTCGATGCCCGGCTCGCCCATGTACGCACAGCTGCGGAAGTAACGCCACTCGCCGTGCACCTTCTGGCGGATCTTGCGACACATCGTCGGCCGCACCCCCTTCAGGTGCTCCAGTTCGGGGGCCTGCTGGCAGTCCGTGATGGCCAGGGTGCTATTGTCGAAGGGATCGCCGCACTTGGGATCGCTGTCGCTGCGGCAGTCCCAGCACTTGATGGCCTGGGCTGTGGTCAATCACATGAGACAACATTTTTATGGCATTAATAAAATATACGCGGCGCAGACGCAGGTGGCTCTCATAGGGCACTTACCAGTTTGCAGCAGGAAGCACAGCAGTACAGCACCCAGAACGCATTTCTCAAAGGTTTTCATTCTGAACGGTCTATATTTCTGATGGTTTTAACTCGTTTTGGGGCCTCTGCAAACAACAAATTAATGAAAACAAAATGCGAACACCGCCCAAAAAATGCTGGCTGGTATCGATAGTTTTCGTGCTCTTATCGATGGCTGTCTTGGTGTGTTTCTTTTTCCAACAGGCTGGTAGCACTGTCCACATAAAATACCAAAGCAAACAAATTTGTTTTATTTTACGCAAAATCCAATAAAAGCAAGTATTAAGAATCAGCCAGTTCAGTAGAAAATTAATTTAGCAATCGTTTAAAGTTAAGTGGCTAATAATATTCTGTACAATAGAACTTGAGTTCGTCAGTATATTTACGGTATGTTTTTAAATTTGGACGGTATATTTCTGAGGGTCGGACTGTATATTTTAATCCGCGGTCACATCATTCCATTTGTTTTCAATTTATTTAGTTTAAATCTCCATTTTAGCTAAGTTAATTGAAACGCACAAACCATACGAAGCTCAACCATGTCCAGAATAACGCGCTGTGCCTTTATATTGCTCTCGCTGGCCGTGTGCGGTAGGTGGTTATGCAAAAAACCCAACGCCACATTCATAATCTCCGCTTAGGGTGTGGCTTGGGGCAGGTGTTTTGTTTGTTAATTGAGATTCATTACTGTTTTTCTTACAGGCAGCTGGGCCATACGCTGCTACCAGTGCTCCTCGGACCAAGACCGCAAGGGTCACGACAGCTGCGGCGCCTACAAAAAGTTCAATCGCACCGAACACATTGCCATCGAATGCAACAGCGACGAGAGCCACATGCCCGGCTCCTTCTGCATGAAGGTGGTCCAGCAGGGACCCAGGGGATTCATCTGTTAGCATCTCACGTTGTTACTTCTTGAATATCCATCGTTTAATGGTTGTTTTTTCTCTCTCCCCAGGGGACGGACGCTGGCGTCAGGTGATACGTCGCTGTGCCTCTGTCTCGGATACGGGCGTGACGGGCGTCTGCAATTGGGGCGTCTACGAGAACGGCGTGTACTGGGAGGAATGCTATTGCTCCAACGACAGTTGCAATGGCTCTAGCCTGCTACAAATGCACGGATCTCTGCAACTTTTGCTGGGTTTCCTTCTGATGGGCGCCGCCGCAAGGATTGTGCGTCGCAGCTAAGAGGCGGATTACCACAAACGACAAAAAAAGACAGCCACCAATAGTGCCTTTACCCACTGCTCTTTATTTATTACATTTTAAGCCAAGGAAAACTTTTTTATAACGAAACACATTCCGTCCACTTTTCCATGTCTAAATCTAAGCCAGAAAGTTGTACACTCGGCGAAAGAGCCTCAAATCGAAATATACACTAGTATAGACCATAGTAGAGATTTATTAGCCACTATCCGGCTGTCCAGTCCAGCAGCGTCTTTGGCATGGCCTCGGCTACGAAATCGATTTGCCACGATGCTAATTCCCTTTCCAGAACTAATTCTTACCCCGCCTTTAGATGTTCTATCTATTGGAAATAACAAAAGTCCCTCCGCAACATCTGAAAGAAGCAGTTCCTATAAGAAAATGACGTTAATTTCCGTCGTCGTCATCGTCATCGCGGCCCTGTCTGGGCTTTCGCGGGCCCTCAAGGATCGTGAGTACAACGCGGTAATGGGGACTATACTTCATCTAAAACACTCTCTCTCGCAGCGATCTGTGCTCTGGAACCGGCCAGTCACGGCACCGATGGTTTCACCTGCCATGGCCATTTTCCGAGATATTCCTATTATCTCTTTAAGAACGAGTGCGAAAGGTGGATATATGGCGGCTGTGGAAAACCGAACAGGAATAACTTCGGCACGATAGAGGAGTGCCAGCATAAATGCAAGGAAGCTGCCTCTATAGAAATAATAAAGTAAAGGCCAAAAAAGGCTGGGGTGTAAAAAACTCGAAAAATATCACTCAATTTTCTCTATGCTGTCTGTTCGCCGAAAGGACAGAGAAAAAAGAGGCACACCGTTTACTCTCTCAACAGAAGGCGTATTTTTGGTACTCTTTTGAGCAGCACTCTCTTATGAAGACCTTGTGAAGAAGGGATTGAAGTTCGGCACGTGAGCAAAACGAGTCAAGTAGAAGCAAAGTCTCTGTTTTGTTGGATTTCCTTTGGTTTTTACTCCACGAAGTGTCTCCCCTGAACGAATGCCCAAAGAGAGCCTCAAAATACTCTCGTTGGTTGGAAGTGGAAGTGCCTTTTCGATCCCAGTTTCAAATGTGTCCGGGGCAAAGAGGGACCCCCATTCTTACTAGATCTAAACTCTTGAATCTCTTATAATCCCTTTCAGTGGCTCTTATAGCCATGAAACGTACTGTAAAATCAAGCAATTTCTTCCTTTGTTTTTATAACATTTATTTTTAATTTGTTTTGGTTTTTGATCTTGCCAGATGTTTTCTTTACAATATTTGTAATTTAACATTAACTTATGCCATAAATTGTTGATTTTTTGTTTTGTTTTGGTTTTTTCAATATATTATTTTTGTTTTTTTTTTTGTTTCATGAACTGTATGGAGAGAAATTGCGGTCCTGTTAACAGTTAATCAGTTTAAAATTGTACGCTAAAAATCCAATTTATATATATATTTGTATATAGTATAGGTATATGTATGTATATTTATGTTCTTGTACACTAAAATCGACTCTCTTTGCTATGCTTAAGGGCTATGTATTGTATATAGATCGTATGACAAAAAGAAAATCAAGTGAATTTCCCTAAAAAGCAAAGAAAATGATGTCCTATGAAATGGGTGCACTGACAACAAGGAAAACGTGAATTAAATATGCCTTTAGTTTCGCTAGGTGCATGAGAGAAATGAATAATTTATTAACGCCAAATCCCTAAGGGGCCCTGGGGGGACTCTATGAGTCGCCAGGCCATCTCATCTGGCCGTCTACTGTTCCACTCTATCCACACGATATACATCAACTTCCTGGCGATCCGAACGAAGTGAAAAATATTTGCTCAATGCTGCTTTTTGGTTTCGAAAACTATGAAGATTATGGACGATGGCTGGGATAATGAGTGGGTGTATGTTTGAGAAGCCAAAACTCAAATGATTCAAAACACATGGGGATTACGTTTATGCGGTGGCGTTTTTGAAGATAAGTATTTTTAGCTCTTTAAGAGACAATATTGCACTTTTTTTGGGGAAATCTGTGGCGAAAATGTGGAAGAATATTCCTCAAAAAATTGTAAAATGCTAAATTAAATTAAAATAACTAAGAGCTAAGCATAAATTTAAAAAAACAATATAAAATACTGCTCAAAGAGGCTCTAGCGACACCAAAACCCAAGTTTTTTTAGGCTTGGATCAGTGAGTCCTGGCAGAAACGCATCCTAGCACCAATCAAACCAATCGAGGGGTGCTGCTGCATAACGCGTGACTCATATTTATAACTGAACAACTGAGCATACAATTAAATAGAAATAAAAATAGACTTGATGCCAAAATCATTTACAAAACATCTTAAAATTCTCAAGGCCCCAATAAAACAATGATAGAGGTATTATAAATTATAGAAAATGGCAACTAAATTAAAAATTCTAGCTCTAAATCTGGGGTATGTCCTCCCACAGGAGAAGTCCTCCCTCCAGACGAAAAGAATCCCTTTAAATGGCAAAAACAGATTTCCCTGCAAACTATTTACAGAACTTCAGTGGCGCACCGCATGAACGCATTTAACATTTAAACAGACACACACAAACATTATTTAAGACTAGTTTAAACATTAAGCTGTTTTCCTTCACTATTTGTTTGCTGTGTTGCTCTAAGACAGTGTAAACGAAATCACATATAAAGCCGATTAAGAGAGAGAGAGGAGAAGATGGAGATCAGAAGAGAGAGAGAGAGAGAGAGAGAGAGATCTCACACCACAATGGGGGTACGACCATCCAGAGTCTTGCTGTCCGTCAGATTCGATGACAACGAGCACGAGGTGTTGTTCTCGTCCTCGATGAGCTGCTGGGGTGGTCTGTGCAGCTGCACCTGCTCGGTGATCGTGCGCGACTCGGGACTGCAGGACAGCAAAGGCGAGTCCAGACACTGGGGCAGGAGCAGCAGGCCGCTGGCAAGAGCCGCCGGCGATGGTGTGTGTATGGCGTACAGAGAGCTGCTCGACGTCGAGCTGGGGCAGCTGGAAAGCGGCAGCAGCTCCGCATCCACTGGCGGCGAGGGACTGTTCACGTGGGTCACCATTGTCTCCTCCTCGCTGCTCGTGTGCTGCTCGTTCAGCTGCGCCACTGTCTGATGGATCCGTATGTGCTCTGTATCCCCAGCCGTGTCGTCCGTCTCATTCAGCTTGTAGTACAGCTGCAGGCTGTCGTCCAAAATGGGTGCAAAGAGGCGTCGAAACTGCCTGAGCAGCTCCGCTTCCTCCGGCCCTGGCTGCTCCTCTCCCGTCATCTGCATCTCTGGCTCTGTTTGGTAGAAACTAAAAGCAATTGCATCCTCTACGACCGTTGCTGTTCCATGCTGGTCAACAACTTCTATTGAGCAATCTTTAACACTTCGTTGACCTCGTCAGACTTTGCCCTTGGGCGATTTGGATTTCGTTGGCGTGGCCCTAAACGAAACAATTTTGAATCCAAATACACTTGAGGCTTCTTCTTCAGTGACTTACCCGCTGGCTTCCTCTTTGCCCGTTTGGGTCTGTGCTGTGGAAACCGTGTTCTTGCTGTAGGGAGCCTGGAACGAGGTCGATGTGATGGTAAAGTACCCACCCGGTTTCGGCTTCAGATGCCTGTTGTTCATCTGCATGTGGACAGTCTTCATGAACTCAATTTGATGGGCCAACTTTTGGATTTGTTCCTAAGGAAAATATACCAAAATTCCTTAGTACAAGTCTCTCTCTAAAGCCTTCAAACCCTTACCTTTAGCTCTTCATTCTCCTGGTACAAATCCGGCGACTCTTCGGCCACTAGGCCCACTCCATTCAGCGAGAACGAAGCTGTTATGCTCCTCACCTTGGCCTTCTGATCCCATTTGTCGCCCTGGCCCTTGAACACCCGCAAGATCTTCGGCCCAAAGACCAAAGCAATGGTGGTGGTGGTCGATAGTTGGGTGCGCACAAAGCCCAGCATGTACTTGTAGTCGGGTCCAGCTTGGGGGAAGAGCATTACACTGTTTGGGGGCAGGAAAATAGGGCACATTTATGTTAGTTTTTGATAAAGGAAGAGGAACATTGATGGTTCAGTTTGGGAGTAGTGATTGAGGCCGAAGGAAGCAAGGGTATTCGACGTTACAGTCGATTTTTTATTCAAGGTGTTATATGGTTCATGTTCAAGGTTTTATTTCCCTTTTTTTAAGCCCATTTCAGACAAAGAATTAGGCTTAAACTTGTCTTAAAAGATGGTGGCTAGGCGCAAGGTAGAATCAAGCAAATATTCACCTGAACTCTGCCCCATAAAGTGGTTGAATCCTCAATTACCTGGCAGAAACCTAGCAACAGTAAGAGGCCCATTTTCCACACCTAAACCTTCACAAACTTCACACCTTTTCCTACGATTTCTGGCCCATTCATTGGCTCTCCCAATCAACACTCTAAGCAAACCCCAAAACCCTTGGAAGTTCACCTACGTGGCTGTAAAAGTTTGCCAACAAATTGCATTAATTATAAAAAAAGAGCTCTTCAAAAAGGATTTCAATTTGGGGAAACACACGAACCCAGAAACCGGGTAAACCCGCAGACAACTTGAAACCGAAAGATGGCCGGGAATGTCTAGGCAAACAAAGCGTGGGAAGGGCGATGCAGACAGACAGACAGACAGTCGGAGAGGCAGGCCAACAAAAAAGGATTACAACGCGAACACGAGCGCGCACAAAGCAAAGGAATTTAATTAAAAGGACCAACCAATGATGGCTGGAGGGCGGCGAGCAGGGGTGTGAGGGGCGTGTGCGGGTGCCCTAATGGGTATGACGCGTGCCGCAGCATGTTGGATTACCCAGCATGTGTCAATTGTGCATCAGGTGCTGCTCTCATTCCCAACTTACTGGAAGACCACCATGGCTATGTTGACAAGGGCTATGTTGTAGATGGCATACGAGATGAGCCGCGCCTCGTTGTACAGACTCTCCGCATTCCGCACATTGTAGCAGACGCGTATGCCCCAGGCCAGGAAGAAGACCTCGCCAATGGCCAGGCTGTGATCCCACCAGTTGTACGAGCACTGTTTGAATTTCAGGTGATGCTTGTCGTAGATCTAAATGGGGACGATGGAAAGCCTTTTAATGGTGTTTTCTTACATTTTCCCTGTCTCTCACTTACCACCTCCGCATAGGGCGTGGCCGAGATGGTCCAGGTACCCAAATAGATCAGCATTACCAACAGAATGGGCACCATCCATTGCAACAGTTGCTGATCGTTCAATTTGATTTTGTGCGCCGACTTTACGCGATACGTCAAAGAGACCCTGTGGAGGCGGGGCATAAGTTATTGTGAGGGGCAGGCAGGGGTCTAGAGTGTACTTGCCGCCAGGTCTTCATCAACAGCGAAGTGTAGGTGATGCAAAAGCCCATGTGGCGCGACCATTTGGTCACAATGCACCAGCTGGTGTCCAGATAGGGGAATATGGCCACCATCTGTAAAGAGGCCAAGAGACTGTATAAAATAGGCCTTATTTCTATGGTTTTATTCTGTTCTATAGTACAAAAGTGATGTTTACGACTGCCCAACGGCCTTCTGCGTAGCCTCCTCGTGGGCCCCCTCCTCCATGGCCTGGATTGTACGGCTATCCCCTCGGGACAGCCGCATGCCTGGCTTAATGCACTGCTCGCAGTTCTCCATGCCGGGCGTGTACTCCTCGATCTGGATGGTGGTCTCAAAGAACCGGTACCGCTTGTGGATCATCTTAGTGGCCTCTTCGAGGATGCTCTGGGGATCGGCGTCCTTCTTGATGGCCAGATGGGCGGACAGGGCCACCTTGTTGATGCTCAGAGCCCAGATACGCAGGTTGTGCACATGCTCGACCCCTTCGATGGAGAGAAATGCGCGCTGCACCTCGTCGTAGTCCATGTAGTCGGGTGTGGCCTCCATGAGGACCATCAGGACGTCCCTCAGAATGCGGATCGTCACCAGGACAACAATGATGGAGAAGAGGAACGTGCAGATGGCGTCCACAAACGACCATTCGGGGCGAAAGAATATGATCAGGGCTGCCACAAAGACGCCCACACTCTGGATCATGTCGCCGATGACATGGATCATGGCCGCCCGCACATTGATGTTCTCCTTTGGCGGTTGGACGTGCACCACCGACACCGAGCTCTCCACCAGCTGCAGCTCCTTCTTGGGAAGCTCCTCGTGCAGGATGCGGGTCTGACGCACAACCTCGCCGGGCTCAAAGTGTCCGTGTCCGTGTCCGTGATGGAGCTGAAATGCCATGATGACGTTGAACAGAATGGCCACAGCGGAGGTGATCAGCATTATTTTGGGATCCACATTATGCTCACCCACCCACAGGCGTTGTATGGCCAGCCAGACCAGAATGCCTGCGAGTAAATGGGGTTTAACGATGGGTTTTTCGCTGTGGAAGGATCTACGATATCACCTGTTATCACCCAAATGAAGTAGACGGAGATCATGGCCCCGATTACCTCGGCCCGATACCAGCCAAAGTTCATGCGCTGCGTGTTCGGCCTGGCACTGATGTACAGGGCAAACAAGGAGATCAGGAAGCCGGCCAGGTCCGTCAGCAGGTGGGCGGCGTCCGTGGCTATGGCCAGGCTGTTGGACAGCACGCCGCCGATCACCTCAAGGATCATGAAGGACAGGCAGAGCACACAGGCAACGATCAGTTTCCTTCGGGCAGGCTTATCGATGCCCTCGGGCTGCACCTCCAGGTGGCAATGATCCCTCCACTGCGTCGTGATGTGCCTGTGGCCGGTGATGGTCAATGTCTTCATGGACTCTGCATGCGCCAGAGAAGTCTTGCTCTCCACCTGGGACTCTTTGCCGTCCCGCTCCTCCTCTGCATCGCTGGCAGGTTTGGCCTTGGGCGTAACATTGCGTGGACCCACTGAAGGGATCTCTGGACTCGCTGGGGCCTTCTCTTCCCCCGCTCCAGCTTTATCCACAACTTTAGACGCAGAAATGGGAGAGCCGTAGCCTAGGGGCCTCTGGAAAGGTACCGCCAGGAGGTTGATCAAGCCCATGCCCGACTCTATCGACGGCACAGCCAGGGGATTGGCCTCCACAGAGTCGTGGCTTTGAGGTCTGGCATAGGGACTTGGCCCCATGCTAGTTGATGGCTCTGGTTCTTCGTCTATGGGTTCGTCTAAGCCATCGCTTTCCGTTTCGAGCTTTATCAAGGAGTCCGGTTCCACAAAGGACACCATCTTTGGTTTTACTTTCTTCGCTGAAGTTCTCTCCGCTTCCAGCTCCTTCGTCGGGGGCTTTTTAGTACTCTCTTTCTTTTTGGACTCTCGTTCTGGACTCTTCCCTCTTAGGACTGCTGTTTCCTCCATCTCCACCTCCGAGCTGTGGCGGGATCTTTTCCTGGTTTGCGAATGGGACCTTTTTGGTTTCTGGGATTCCCTGAGGTCCGCATACCAGGATTTCATCGATTCTTTAAACTCCGCCGACCAGGTCTTTGGCAGATCTCGACCCTCCATCGTTTTGTCGGAGGTTTCTCCCATCTCCGGGCCATGTTGCGGCTTCTTTTCCTTTTTTTCTTGCCTTTGTGCTGGCTTCTGGCGCTCTTTCTTGCGACCCTGCTTAAGCTCCTCCGACCAAGTTCTTTCCGTTTCTACACGCCTTTCATTTTTGAAATCCCCCGCATCGACGTCGGGGATACTGACTATATCCCTCAGGGCCGCCTGCAGGGCTTCCTCATCCTCCTCCTCGGAGTCCGAGCTGGCTGGCGGCAATTCTTCTTCACGTTTATTCCCTGGTGTCCGGTTCCTTCTCATAGTTTCAACAATTTCTGGTATTTTGACACTCAGTTGCCAAATACTTTGATTGGAAAATCGTCTGCGATTTAGTTTGTTCTTAGAATCGGCTCCTGGCTCTTCATTTGCAGCCTCTTAACCCATTTGGCTTTCGGTTTGTTGGCTTGTCCTTTTGTTGTTAATGTCGCCATTGTGTGAGGGCTTTTATGGGTCCACTGGGTGGAGTGGTCTGCCATTGTAGGTTTGCTAATGCCATCCAGGGGTATGCGAGCCCAGGTCGAAGGGGGTTTGCTCTTTCCAGGGAAACACTTCCCAAAGAAGGAAATGGCATAACCAACTGGAAGGTTTCTGTTTCTTAGACCTAGTCTTAAGTTTTAAGTCTTAACAATGGATCCATCTGCTTATACATATATATTCTAACATATTTCTTTCTTATAACAAACTTAAAACTTATTTTCCTGGCGACAAACTGCCTTTGGAAACCGCATATACCCTTTTGGGCAGCCAGTGCCTAAAAGCCGCATTTAAAAACACATAAGAACACGTTTAATGTTGCGGTTGGTTCCCAGATTCCCTACCTGCCAGCAGGGGTTAATTATGAATGAGCCCGAAACGAAGCCAGTCAGACCTTTTGTCACACTAGAGACATTGTTTCCAAATGGTCTTTGTGTGTTTTTTGTGCTTGTGTGCCGGCCCGCCTTAATGGGCCAAGAGTGTTGGCCTAAATGTCGTCGAAAAACTCACCTCCAGATACATGATGGCGCAGCCAATGAGTGTGATCATCAGGAAGATGGGACTGGCCACCTTAAAGACTTTGACGCGACGATGCCGGAAGAGGTAGCCGGCCAGGACGAAGGTGCCGCAAGCACAGCCAATGGATATGGTCAACAATGATATTCTAAAGAACAGAAATCAAGAGAGGGAGAGACACCGACAGGGGCAGTGTCATGGTGAGGCATATTGACATGAGGAACACTTGAACATGAAGCATGTTCGGTGCGCAAACAAACACACAGACAGACAAGCACACACACCTGAAAGGCCAATGATAGTTGGCCAGACACGGCTCCGGACCGGTGCACATGTCACAGCCGGGGGCGCAAGGCAAACACTTGAAGACATCCGTATAGTAATTGCTTATATTGTCCTGATGCTCCTGCCAGGCAATCTCCATGATGGTGCCATTGAAGCCATCCGGATGGCGCAATGAATAATAGCCGCGCTTGCACAGGCACTGGTACGAGCCCCGGGACCAGCTGCTGCTGGTGAGAGCGCTCAATATCTTGCCGCTGCTTATTGTCGATGCCTCAGCGCTCGGCTGCCGATAGTCGCACTGCAGATGAGCATGGATGGAACACAATTAATTAACCCAAATGAAGTGCCCCACACTTACCACCATGGAGGTGCGATGACACTTGTGTGAGCTGTGAAAGGCTTGCAAATCGTTGATCCTCCCCACATCGTTCAGTGCCGATGCCGCCGCGGCCGCCTTGCTGGCCAGCCGTGGGTAACGTCGCATGGTCTGGTACTGCTGCAGCTGCTGCTGTTTGCGGCTGCCAAAGTGATAGGGCTCCGCCTCGCACTGATTGACGCGCAGCGACGTTACATCAATGTCGATGCTGATGAAGCCGCGCAGTCCATGCCGGCCGCTGGGCGGAATCGCAATGCTATACGACACCAGCCACTTGCTGGGGGCGCACGAGAAGTACGGGTATGTCCACCAGCCTTTGTAGTAGTTGCTCGGTGGGCTAGGTGCGAATTTCGGCGAGCGGAGAGTGGGCGTGCTGGTCTCATCGTCGAACCTAACCAAAGAGCATATAAATAAATAAATGCTGTGTGCCTGTGGCTCTGCATACGTACCAGGGATAATTGTTGGCCGGCTTTTTGCCAATTTGCAGTCCCTCCTCGTCGTAGCGCTGCGTCTCGCCCAGGACTTTGTCCTGGTTGCTCTTCACCCACCACACATACGACTGCACGGCGCCGTTTGTCAGGTTCAAAGCCAAGATGCGTGCTCCGGTTATAAAGTCATCAGTGAGCAGGCCCTTGGCTAACGCATCCGAGAGTCCTATAGAAAAGGAAATTAAAATCTGGGTCAGTCCCATGGTTGTTGCAAGTGAAAACTTATTTCAATAATTGCTGTGCAGCAGCAGCAGCAGCCGCACAAGAAACAGAAACAGAAAAACCCCGGCGGAAATTAAATGGGAAACGAAACTCGGAGACCAACAGCAGACGGGGGCGGGGGGCGGAAGCAAAGTGATTACAATTTTCACTTACATTTCCCCAAAATGAATTGGCCATGTCACTGCACTTAATTGCTGATTACGCCCGCTCACAAATTACTCAGCCTTTATTATTTATTGGCGCTAAAGTTCCGATGCCACGCGATACCAGGTATCGAGTAGGCATGGAATCGATCAGGAGGGCCATTTAATGGGAAATGCATCTCAATTGGCGATTGCACATCAATTGCCGCGCGGCATTGTGCCTTTATTGCAATTTTCATATACCGTTATCCACTTGAAATTAAGTTTATCATTTTATATTTTATTGCATCATCGTTTGGCGTTATGCGCGTGTGGGATAGAGAGGGCAAATCCTGTCGGACTTTCGCCTTTTTTCACGATATTTCTGCGTGTTCCCATAACAATAAGTATGTTTCTGTAAAATATGTTCAAACTTCAAGTGTTACCCCAATCCGCAGCTCAATTTCAACGAGGTAAATAAAATGGTAGCGGACCTCTCCTATTTAAACCTTGAGCACCGTATATTTTCTTTCCAATTGGTGAAATAAGCATTCATTCAAACTCAAATATTCGTATGATCACGAGTTTTTGGTATTTCCGATACTAAATGGCAGTATTTTTCTATTCTGAGTATCGAATATATGCCAGACTCATGTCCCGAGAAATCGAGCAGCATTGTCCCTCAACATTCCGAATAGAAGATCGCATAGAAGAGCGTTTCTCCCGCCCAAATCTTTTAAAATGTTTTTTTGCGTTGTAAAAGTGAAAATAAAAGTGTTAAGTGTGTGCAAAATGTTCACAAGTGTGCAGTGTTATATTTGTTTATTGAGAATCGTTTGTGTCAGTGTTTTTAGCAGCATAATCAGTGTTTTTATCCAAAGCAAGTCCAGCTTTGCCGCCATTTTGTTTTTTTTTGTGTGCAATTTTCTTTTGTTTCGTCGTGAGTGAAGTTTTTTTTTCCTTTTTCTTTTGTGCGACTAACGAATATGGAGATAGATATGAAATATGAAGTGTGTGAAGATCATTTTGTGGCCTACGTGACTTCTTGGTACGAAAACTCCAGACCCTGCAGCTTCAAGATCTAAGGTAAAAATGCTCCCAAACAGCTATTCATATGTAATGCGTGTTTTTCTTCTTGAATTTTATTTAAAACCAATTGAAAATTGTCACTGGCCCTTAATTCGTATGTAGATACTATGTGTGTACGCAATATTCACTTTTCCTATATACGATTTCTTGATTTTTCCTGCATCGGCCAGCAGAGCCGCTGAGCTGATATTTGATGATGTGTTAGTGTGTTTGCCTATGCAAAAACAGGCGCGAAATGTATGCCTGTGTGGGAGGAAAGAACAGTGATCAGGTGTGTGTGGGTGTTCTAGACGGAACGAGATAGCAAGAAATCATTGGCGATGTGTAAAAGGAGACGACAAGAATTGTTTACATGTGGCGAGCTCGTATGTGCGAAAGGGATGGCAAATCTATTCGGATCTATTCTGTTTTTTCACCATAGAATACATTTTTAAGGATATATTCCTCTAAATTGTGACGAACTAATCCCCGAAATCACATATTTTGGCAACGAAATCTGAAGCAATTTGAGGAATACCAACCAATGGGAATTTGGCCATGAGTTATGGCAGACTTTTGCATGGGGTTGCTCTTATCTGATTGCTTTGTGGCGAATGCAACTTTAGGCGTTTAACTGTGAACATCTGTTACTGTTATTGCAGCCTTGGAACAGTCATTAAAAGCTGCCTCTGATGCTGCTTTCAGCCTTGGCAAAAGTGTCAACCGTAGAACAATGATTAATATGCGCGGCAGGCCAGCATATGCCCTTTTCCCTCTGCAGCTTCCACTCTCTCGCTCTCCGTCTCTCTGTGTGTGTTTGTGTGTGTGTGTGTCGTGTGTGGGCGGTGGTTGTCAAAAGCTAATATTTTTCCCTGGTACTGTGCAGGGTATGTTACACAGTGGGTAAGGCAAATACAAACACAAAAGGCTCATGTTTGGTGAGGCCTTACCTTCCTTTTAATGTGTCTTGCACAATCCTGCCGCCTTTCTTTTGCTTTCTGTTTGACTTTTCAGCCAGAAAAAGGGAGACAGAAAGCATGAGACGAGGCACGTGAACGTGCGAGGGAGAGGCAGAACGAAACGAGAATTGTTTACAAAGTAAACTTATTTAAATTCGATTACCGCAACTTCCGTGGCACTTTCCTTATTTTTATGTTTTAGTGTGTACAGAACTTGCTGCTTCTTTGGTCCGAGTACGGGGTACCGTTACATCTGGGGAAAGTTCCTATTCCTTCAGCGAGAAAGGGCCATATAAACCGTGCATGTGCACTTTTTTTTTTAGTTCTTAAACTTTTCAAGAGAGTTTTTCCCTTTGAGAGGCGGAGTGAAAGGAGATGAGATCTAGCTTTGCCTCTAACAAAACTCTATCTTTGTTCTCTGGCAAAACTCCAACAGAATTGTTTTTAGTTTTATGCAAGAAAGATAAAGGTCGGATATTTTATGGGATTAAATTAAAATAGAAATGGGATATCATAATTTAATGGTAATTCATTTTAAAATAGCAGAAAATCCCAGTGTATACTGCAGGCAAAGCTGGAAAGCTGATCCTTTTCTGGGTTTTAAGAGGGATATAAGCCCAAGAGTCCTTGCCGCATCTACAATATAATTCACATGAAATTTCCAGTCACCCAGTTATCTGCAATGCAGTTGATTAGCAGGAGATTAGCTTCTGCCAGACCCTATAGAATACCTAGAAACTAATAGCAAATAGGAAAGGGGGAAAACATTGCCTCGGAAGCGCGTGGACACCTACTCTCCCATTGCTCCTTCCGCCTAGAGGCCGCTCCCCAATTCGAGTCTGCCAGCATCAGTGGCACCAGAGTCTCGGGTCAAGCCTCGGTCCACCCCCGGTCCCCTGCCACATGGCCAAAGCCCTTCAGGTAGCTGTCACTGTGTGTCGCATGGTATCAACATTTTTGACATTTTTGGAACCCTGGATTGTTTTCCAACCCTGACTTTATCGTCTCACAACCTAATTCATACGTCTTACGGCTTGACGGAACAAAACTTCAACAAAAATTAAAGTTCTTTT